GAACCCACTGCTTCATCTTTTAAATATGGTCACTTAACTATATAGGGTCCTAGCTCTTTAAAAATTATAATTGTATAAGATTTATATATTTCTACCTGATATTTCCTACACATACTTCAAATCAGTCCACTATTACCCTATTAAATACTTTTGAGGAAGAACAGCAATCCCAAAATAAACCCCTTCTTTTCCAGAATTATTTCAAAAGTTCTGCAAATGTCAAATAAATATCTACTATGCTGCCTTCTCCTTCAGGAAACCAAGTCTTATTTATCTTTTTGTTTCTAGATCTAACTTCTGATTTTTACTGAATGAATAGTCTTATTAAGAAGCAAAAATGAATATTCTTTTACTGTAATTTTTAATTACTGAAGAAGTCCTCTGTTCAGATCACTAAAGGCACAAGAATGTCACAACAACGGTCCCAGATCCAGTTTTCAAAAAGTACTAGGAATGCAATTCTTTATCTCTAAAAGCTTCCCTTGTGAACAACTGGGTGGGCTGGGCGAGATAAAAGTGGAAGAGGATCCATTCTCTTCTTCTCTAGTTTACTTATTGTACTTCTGCCACAATTTCATCAGTTTTGAAATGGTTCTACAGGTGAAATGAGTAACTGCCTTAGTGTAACAAATACTGCGGTTTAGGAGATCAAACTCATGACAGCAGCAAGCTCAAAACAACTGAAATGTAGGACACAGCTGTGGCCAGTATTCCAAAGGGTATGATGATCTTCCTAAGTAGAACTAGAAATAGCAGTTTCAAAAATGCTGAGAGAATTTTTTTTATTTTTCCTTTTTTGAGACAGGGTCTTACTATGTAATCTAGCCTGGCCTTGAATTCTCAACATCCCCTGACTCAGCCTCCTAGTGCTGGGATTACGGGCACGTGCCACCGTGCCTGGCTTTTGATAGAATGCTCTAAATCATTCAGAAAGTCATTTTTGGGTTCCAGTAGAGCCCGGACAACTCAGCAATAGTGAGTTCCTGTCTCAAAAATAAAAAGTAAAGGACTGGTGCCAAAGCTCAGTGCAACACCCAAATTCAATCCTCAGTGTCACATGGTGGTATGGAGGACTCATTTTGACCATTCATTTTATTCCTGGGGTTAAAAGGCCCAGAAATAAGCATTGCACCAAGACCTACATGATTATTCTGTGAATAATCTTAGTAGTCTTAATAAAGAGCTTCAAGACAGGAATAAAAAAGTCCCAAAACATCTGTCATTCTAAGTCTTTTAACTCTTTCCTTTGAGGAAATATTACTTAGTGTTTTATCCAAGTGGAAGAAAGATTATGATACAAGTTTAACCACAGAGAAAATCCATCTGATTTGAAGGAAGCACATATAGCTTAGAGAATTAAATTGAAATATATCTGATATTTCCATTTTAAAAATTATTAAATTATAAATGAGTTTTATGACAATACTGATAACGGTTGCAATAGATGGCACTTAGAGGTTAACTGAATGTGTTTGCACATGAAATACCACATTTACTCATCACGGTAAAGCTAGTGGTATTAATACTCAAGTACTAGACAGATAAAGACTGAGGGTACAAAAGCTTTCATAACGTCTCAATACCAAACCAGTTTGCTCTAAAAATATTCCTCGTTTCTGGGAATATGCTTTTAGAAGTAAAGGATGCTAACCCTGAGGTGGTGAGTGAGCTGCTATAGTAATAATTACTGTGTATACTGCACAGCACATTAAAAATGATGCACCAGAATCCTCTCACAAACTCTTGTCGTCATGCTGATGTCTACTAATCCACTCAAATACCAGGATTTTTATCATTACTTTCACTAAACAGACATAGACTGAGGCTTACAAATATTCCCCGACCTGAGGATGATCCCGCTAATGCCAAGGCTAGCTCACTAAGATGTAATGCTTCTTGGAATCAAAGTTAGAGGACATGATTTTTTGCTGGTGATCAATATAACATGACATTATATCACCTGCTGACATTGTATAACTCAGATGGAACCTGTGGTCATCGTGAAATTAAATGAGGGCTCCTGCTGCACCAGTGAGGAGAGAATGACACAGATCCAAAGCACTTAACTCCTGTGTGGTGTTGTTTTTGCTTGGCCAAGGGGGACAGCAGATTCATTTGATTTGCTTTGCTATCTTGAAACCATTCTCAAGGAGGGAGAGAAACTCTTTGGAAAACGCTGACTCAGTGTTAGTGTTTTCTCCTTGTGAACTACGGAGAAGTTCTCAGGCAAAGTTAAGCAATCAGAGGCAGTCCTATATTTAATAAGAGGAAAATGTCTTAAGGAAAAACAAGTTTTACAAAAACAATTTTTAACTGGGAAATGTAATTAAAGAAGTAATGTATATTTTAATTTAGATTTATGTCACTGGATTTGTAGGTAGTGTTAATAGTTTCCAAATGCCAGTGTGTATTCATGCACATTTAGCAATACTTCATGATGTAATACATTGCTTCTTTGATACATCTTTTGTCAAATCCATCTGTCTCTGGCAGATAAGCATAGCTTTTCAGATGCTTATCTACAAAAGAACTTTCACAGCCACACAAAAATGATGTAGGAAAGTAGAGAGGAATATAGAGAAGAAAGATCATCTACCCTTGTTTTGGTGACATTTTGCTTTTCCCACAGCTCACAAACTGTCCTCTGGAATCCTGAGGCCTCTGGACTCCTTTTCTTAATCTCTTGTCCTTACACAAAAAGACATGTGACCCTGGTGTCTCCAGGAGAACAGAAGAGATAAATGACCTCCAGGAAGCACTGCCTCAGGATGCAAATGTCCCTCATATAGACCCACCAGAACCTGCTCAGCCTCCTGACCATCTGGATTCTATAGGAAGCTGATTAGTGTTCAGTAATTAAGCACAAGTCACGTATATTTTATTCATCTCAATGAATACCCAGTAAGATACTGCAAAGAGAGGAAGCCAGGAAAAAGTAGGAAGGAATATACAAGCTACATTAAGAGAACTGCATTGCCTCTAGGAAAAGAAGGAGAGCCAGGTTAAAAGCCAGCTCGGGTAAGGCAGCTTCTATCCCACCACTTCTTACTCCTAGGGAACACAACCACCTGAAGAGTGACTCTCACAGAAGAGTCACTTTTTTCCACTAATGCAGTTAGGGATGGATAATTACGGATGAGTCCGCCATCACTATTAGCATCTATGGCTGTGGAAACTCAATAAACTCCCTATCCAATCTCAATAGAGGAACTGGCAACATACCATTTTTTCAGAAAGTAAATGTGTTTCTGAAAGAACACATTAAGCTTAAATTCCTTAAAGACTATTTTATAAAGATTTGGTTGATACCTAGAAAGACTCCATGCTGATTACATCTCTCTCTTTTTATGAACATCATATGCTGGTATGAAATGAAAGGAGTCATATTTCAGAAAGCAATAATATTTCTAACAATAAAACTTTGCATTCCCGGTGTCATCCAAAAATAAAATTTAACAAAAATGAAACGAATATTTCTGCCTTATTGGCTAAAATCATGTTAGTCATTTAAAGAGTTACAACCAAAATTAAACTTCTTTGAGTCTATTAATGTATTTTATAGGAGTTGGCAAGTAGTGACTAAAGTTATTAGAAGTTTGTATTTGCCACAGGAATCCATAATTTTTAAAATGTTCAAATGATTTGTGCTTGGGACTTGTATGTGCCACAAGGCTGTACCTTTGAATCTGTTAGTCTAAAGACAGGTTGTGTTTTTAGCTAAAACACAACCTGAGAACCAAAAATATAAGAAACAGCCTGGCTGTGTACTGTCTTGAGAAAAAAATATAAAAATTATTTGGGAGAATATAAAATTATTTCTATGCTCCAAGTTCATACTCAACTAGCCCTATTTATTTTTTTATGACAGTCTAGGAAAAATTAACGATGATATAAAAGCTAAACATGAACTGCTTACATTTACCAGTTTATACTCAGTAATGATTCTGTCAATAGAAGCTATAGAAGATAACAAAATACTGGTGTTTTCTAGTTTTTCATTTCAATCTGTTCTAGCTTTATTCTAAATCTTGTTAGCAATAGACGTTACCCTCAACAACTACATACACCTAACAACAGCTTCCTGGGGTAATTTGATCTGCTCTGACCACAAATGCCAATCCACACACTTTCTTCCGTTAGGGTTGTGTATCTGTGTCTATTGAATGTACTTCTTATAAGGCTTCTCACAACAACTTTGTGGTTTCCCATTCAGTGCTCTACCACATAAATAGAACCACTGAAGAACAATTTTCATGCATATATACCTTTTCAGTTATTCATAGTGCAACGTCTCAAATTAGCTTCAGATTGCAGAAAGTCTTGCCACCATCCTTTCACATTTCTTCCTCTTCTGTGCCCTGACTGCTGCGAGCCTCTGTCCCAGGAGGATCCCTTATCATTTGCTGCTCACTCTCCCCCAGCTTTGGACACGGGGGTGGGAAACTTTGAAGCCTACCAGACTCAAGTGCTCTCTCACCTAGGTTTGGACATTCACATCCGTTTTAATCTGCTGGTTTTGGACCTTTGTCACTTTATAGACCCCATAAAACAAACAGGCCACGCAAATGCATGGAACAGCCTCCTCCAAAATGCAGCTTGAGTGTGATCCACGGCAAAATGCTGAAATAACTCTGCCAGGTTCTAGAAGCTTTAAGATTCATCCCATTGAACTTGATACATACACAACAGTAGCTTGAAAATGAACCATCTGCTAGTTCAGTATTTTCTCCTTATAATCACTCCCTCCCAGGGTATATAATTAATTTACTGCGCTTTAAAAGAAAAAAGTCAGGATTACTCACACAGTCTTGAAGATGCAATGTCAGCTATTTAGGACACAAACATCCAAGGCCGTGCTAGGACTCAGTTACAACTACATATGCATTAAGGCAGGAACTGACAGGCCTCTGACTACGGCAAGTATAGGGCTTGTGCTTCTCAACTGCCGGGCTATAATCTATGAAACTGAGCCCAGATCCAGCCAATCAGTTCGCTCCTCATAACAAGTCTAACTGGCTCTGGAAAGCTGAAAGGGCTGCACTGGAGCGGCATAGATGATATATTCCACACAGTAATCTGCTTATCTAGAGTCACTCTGCCTGGAAAAGCCAGAGAGAATCACGGCTTCATTATCTGAGGGAAGAAGGACAGGTGATCTGGCAGAAAACACATCTGAACCTGGAGCAAGAATGACCCTCTGGCTCGGCAGTCCCAAAGGTGCGGCATGAAAGGAACTGAGCCTCCCCAGGAATCCAAGGGCAACCACAGCAGCAAACCCGGAGGTAACTTTCATCTTCCTTTTTAGTTTCAATAGGAGTAATGCTAAGTGAAAAGGATACACATTAGTCACTTAGGCAAATAAACAGGATTCTGTTTTATTTTTCTTTTCCATGTTTTAAGTTTTTGCAGGATCATTTGTTATTAAGTGTGAGCAGAGGGAAAGAAACTCAAAACTAACATCTGCTGAGCAAAATAGATCATTTTCCAGAAGAGCTTTAAAGCTACCTTTCCAGATGGGCAGCCTTTACAGCCAGTCAGAGAAACAGAGTAAATGCAGCTGACAAGGAATGGAGAGAAACAAAATCGCACACTTTTCATACCTGAGAGAAATCTCTACGTTCAGAGAGTAAATCAGGAAGATGGGTTACTGCCCAGTTCTACAGGCCATGGGCACTTAGGCCACGTAAGAACATTCGTTCCGGGCTGGGAGGGTTGGGACAGAATCCTCAGAATCACAAGGGAGTAGACAATTCTGTCAGCACTCGTGTTTTACTTTTCTCTGCAGTATCTTTCTAATTTCCCATTACATTTTAAGTGTTAGTTCTGCCCGCTACTGTTACACCATACTTCTAAATTGGTAGTTAATAAAGGGTCCATGGAAAACACTTTTCAGCTGCAACCCCCAACACCACACCCTTAACATACTTAACCTAGTGACAAACCCTTCCAAACCCTGAGCAAATTGTTTAACATATTTTGTAGTGAGTGTAACATTAGCAATGAAAAAACCCCCTGCAGTAAACTTTTACATAACTAAATCAATCATTATGCTTTCAAAGTGACAACAGAAGTTACAAAATAGTCATCTTGTGTTGTTGGATTCATAAGCCCCTGAAGGAAGGAAAAAGCAGAGAAAGAAAATAATCTTTGTTTAGTGGTAAAATAGAAACACCGAGTAAGAGAAGAGACATTTATGCACATTTTGTTTGCTGTAGATAATGGACTGAATTGAACTTGCGATTTGACACCAGGAAGAAAAACAGCAGTACACAGAGATCAGAAAAAAATAACCCATCGGCAGTTTCCTGCCAGGCTTTGTTCTTTGAATTGTCCAATTTTGATTAGCCACGGAAGAATATTTCTGTTCTCTTTACATATTTTTTATTTAATTAAATTTTGTTTATTTGACAGTACTGCTGCCTGTGGAGACCAAGTGAGAATGGAAACTTCTGAGAAAACAAAATTGTCAGCATTGTTGTCCCCTTCACTCAAAACTGTGCTATGTAGTCTGAAATGGAAAACAACTCCTTAACATAGTATTGTCGTCGAATCCTCAACATGGAACTTCGTACTTCTCACTCCCTTCACAAAATTCCATTCAACTCCCCTGGAATTTCCATGTTCCAAATCATTTTCACCAGACAAGGCTGAGAATACTCTAAATGGAGGCATGTAAGTCACTTCACATTCATTCTTACCTAGAAATTTCTCACAGGAAGACCTCACCTCCTACGACCCTGAAAAAAACTATTTCACCACCCAGACCACGGTCAACAACTACGCAGTAAGGCTTGGTGCTGAAGTTTTCACAGCCTTCGCCCATTCTCTGTGTGGGCATAACTGAGTTCACAACTGACCCATGGCTTCCTGATCCTTCACAAGTACTAAAAGCCTTGTTTGACCCAACTTCAAGTTATTTGTCTCTTAGTAAAAAATGTTCGACTCAAAACACATTCATGATGAGAGATTCCAAAAAGACCAGCACTGCCTGCTCTTCCTAGAATCATAATAATTTTGATAACCTGACACATGTTACTATGATCTGGCATTTTTCTTGGGATTTAAATATTTAGTTATACTGTGGGGAGACTTATCCTGAAACAAAAACAGTAAAGTAACGTCTCAGTATGAAGTATGGTTCAACCCTGAGCCTATTATGTCATTTACATTTGTTTCCTTTATCAGAATGAAAACAATGCAGTAGAAGAAACTAAAAATATACATATCAACACTATAACCTTCTTTTGCCTAAAATCGTTAATGTAATATGTCAGAGTCTGCTACAGCAGGCATCATGGTTAATTCCTCAGGATTCATATTAGCAGGTTCTAACTATAAAGATCACTTCCTGTTATTACCATCAGTTAATACCTGTTAGCTATAGCATTGGGCACGAAGGGTCATCCACACAGCTGAGTTCAGTTCTTGTCTGTCTGTCCTTGATCTCAATCCCACCGACAAGAATTAAGATGATCCTAATAACAGAAAGCCACATCAAGAGTGCAAACCCTGTCCTGAAGCAAGAACTGTCAGCAAATCTCAAGTGTCAGAGTAGCTATATAGTTCATGGAAAACTGTCTCAGAACTTGGGCCAAGCATGATTTCTGGGCTCATAAGCTAAGTTGTCTGGTCCTGAAATTTATGTAAGCCAAAGAAATCACCGATGAGAAAACTATCAGAAATGTTCAGACCCACCATGTTAACAGGTGTCAGAAATGAAGAATCACAGGAACTCCATTCCCAGTGACATAGTTAAACTGGCCCAGTAAAAAAGGAGAAGGCCGTCCTCACCTTAACACAAATGTTTCAACTTAAATTAAACAGCATGGATAGTAAAGATGTGATCGCTCTAGGGACTAAGCCTTTGGTCTTTGTTCAGACCTAACAAAACACTTAATTTGGCCACTTAGATCTGAAATCAAATTGGCTCTTGGCACATGGAGGGAATTTTTAGTTGGTATTTTTGTGTGTTTTGTTTAATTCAGTCTCTCCCAAGAACATGACCATATATAAGCATACTAACACATGTGACAAAATTAACATAAACTCCTCATTTTTTATACTCACTTGTAGTCAGAACTCTTAGGTAATGAGACCTGAAAAGAAGGATCGATTTTATTGCAGTCTTGTTCTTTGCCCAAGCATCTTGAAAGCATTACGACATGACATACACAAAAACCAGCAATATTTATGTTTAATAAGGATTTAAGGTATCCATTATTATTATTTGATGCTAAAACTGCCTGTGTGTCCAGCACTGTGTAAAGAACAATAACATGGAGGTTGAGGGCATAAATTCTGGAACCAGACTGCCTGGGTTCAAATCCCAGCTTTGACCCTTAACTATAGGACTTTGGACAAGATACCTAATAACCTTTTGCCTCAGTTTTCTCATATGCAAACTAGTGTCACACATAGTCAGGCTGATATAAAGATTAAGTGGGCAGGCCAGAGAGATAGCTCAGTGGCACAGTGCCTGCCTGGCAAGCACAAGGTCCTGAGTTCGATTCCCGGTACAAAAAAAAAGATTAAATGGGCAAATAAATGCCTAGAACTGAACCCACTCTGCTACATGGTGAACACTCACCATAAAAAAAAAATTGTCATTTTCATTGTTATTATTTTTAAGCTCATTACCAAAATAATATACAAAATTCAAATTTAAGGTAAATTATTGAATAACCAGATGTGGTGAAATGCCATCTACTATCATCACCTACTGCCATGCAGGTAATATTTACAAGTGAGTCTTGTCCTGCAGCCTCTGAGATAACAGCACAATGAGGTGGGCAGGTCACTGTTGATTGTGGGTCTTCTGTACGGTTATCACTTGACACTTAACCCTGCCCTACGTTTAGTGTGTCACGTAAGAACACTCAGCCAGGACATGACACAAAAGGAGTAATCATAGTAGACATGATCCATATGATAAAGGATTCAAAGTTCAGGCTAGTTAATGATTTCTGCATGAAGGGGGGAAAAATAAGGGAAGTTATTAATCTTTATTGACGGCCTCCTAACCAAAACCTATTTGAAGAGGGGGAGAGGGTTAGTCCTCATGAACAGCTGTATTGATTCCTCAGAATATATGAACTATGTCTAGAATTCATGCTGAATTCCCAGACTAAATATGAGAGAACACTGAAGCTAAATATTGTCCTTTCTTCCCACTGATAAGGGATTCCTCAGAGCAGGAGAATATTAGTGGAGATACAGATATAGTCACTGAGAATGGGAAGAGAAAACAACAGTCTTCCTGGAGAAGGAAAGGCTATGCCAAGGGAGGAGCATGGAGTTCTACACTCATTCATTCATTCATTCACCTATTCACTCACTCACGCTTGAGTTGTCTTCTTATTTTCCTCCACTCCCACACAAAGCCCCACCACCTACCTGCTTCTAGCTCCTGAGATATCATGTTTTCAGCTCATGCTTCTGCCAGTGCAGCCCACCCTCTCCATGCCCGTCCCCAGCACCCACTAGCAAGTTCAAGGATAGTGATCTCTACCCACCTGCTTTCTCTTCCAGAAGGTGGTGACTCCCCGCAGAGCCAGTTATTGACTTGGTATCACTACCACATAAATTAGCACTAAAGAACAAAGAAACGTTCAGAAAGCTAGAGGAAATTTTCTGTTTAGGGGAAGAAAAGCTTCAACAATAAAATATAGGGCAAGGTCAGAATGATAACAAAATCAAATGTCAAGGCCTAGTAGAGCTATAGACAAACTCTTTGCTAGGAAATCATCTCCAGTCTTTCTCAAGTTGATAAAGAAATGCAGTAAAGTCCACTGTGATTGCTAGAAATAATCACATGTTTGAAAGCTCTTTGGGGAGCCTGGCAAAGAGTTGAATGATCTTTATCTAATCTATTCTCATTATTCTGCTCCTGGCAGGAAAATGCACTGGAGCTGGGAGTATCTAAGACTCAGGGGTGAGTAATTGTCTCCCCAGGCCCCTGCTGTTGGTTCAGTTACAGAGTCAGACATGAAGTCTCCCTTCCAAAGCCCACTTGGGTCACTGAGGTATCACAACCCCCAGCATTGCTGCATCCAGTCCTGTGACCAAGGATATGCACAGTAGGAGAAGAGCATGGGAGCGGCCCAGAAAAATGTTACGAACAAGGCATTCTGGAGAGTAACTGCTATCGTTTGGATGGGTGCCCTCAGAAAGGCCCATATGTTAAGGCCTGGTCCCTGGGGTGGTGGTGCTGTGTGATACTGTGGACTTTTAAAAAGTAAGACTGAATGGAAGGTCCCTAGATCTTTGGGGACATGCACCTGAGGGAATCACGGGATTCTGATATGTCCTCTCTCTCCATTTGCTGGTTAGTGATGTAAGCAGTGCATTCAGCCACATTCCCACCATGATGCGCCATCATCACCAGAGGCCCAAACCAACAGCACTGTCCAATCTTGGGACTAAACCTTCCAAACCATGAACCCAAATAACCTTTCCTTACTCACTAAGTACACTGTTGTCAGTATTCTGTTATACTGACAGTTACCCTGAGAAATGGGCTGTCTTTATCCTCTCCCTCTCATTCACTCTAGTCCCCTAAACAGTCCTTCTATGCTCCCCAGCTCCTTCCTCCAAAGCGGCCCACAAATACCATGGGGCGCCTTACCCTTTCCTATTCTCAAATGAGTCTTTTTGTGTGACGTTCCCAGAGCAGCAGATTAAACCACTTTATGAGAATATGATTAAACGTTCCTGCTACCTTCCAAGTGGCACTTTATTTTAATAGAAGCTTTCTAGAAATAAATCTGAGAACCAAAGAAAGAATCACCAGTGGATATTTCAGGCCCCATGGACCATGACACTGGAGACATGCAGAGGACAGGCAGGGATTTTCTGGGCCAGGGAATCACACCATCACATCAGCCACATTCTCCTGTCAGTAATGGTTCAGCCCCATATGCACAGCTCTGTACCACGGAGAATGTCAAGTGCTGCTCACAGTTACACGACCTGTACCAGCACCTGTAGTCCCTGAGTATTCTCTCTCTACAGCCAGAATGCAGGCCACCACCAAGTAAGAAAGTTTTCTCTCTTATTTAACCCCCCCACAGGAGCAGTAAATATTGAACATACAAGAATTTGACTATGGAGACACATTTGTAATGTCAGTATCTGAAAGAGATATAGGTACTCCACGTCTCATAGTCTATAGGATATTTATTTATCTGCCATAAGAATTAAGCACATAAATCTGATTACAGTTGAGTCACCCATGCACTATAAGATAATACAGTGGCCTTGAATTTTAAGGGCAGGGCTTGACCCAAGGTGCTTGTTAAAATGTTAGATTCCTGGCTCCCACTAAAGGATGTTGATCTATGAGTCTACAACGCCTAGAGAATCTGCATTTTCATTGTCTACCCCCCAACCTTGCTTGTAAAGCCAGTCTTCCGTGGACTACTCAAGAAACATCAAAACAGTGATAGGGCACCTAGCCCAAAGCCTACAGGATGACAAGTTCTCAGTACTTACTAGATATAATTATTAAGAATCAGAACCAACCACAACTTCACATACTCAACTTGCATTTGATCTCCTGCTAAGGAAATTACCTATGGGAGTAGCTGTAAGATGGCAAGCTAGGAGTTTTTTAGTGTAGGAAAGAGAAATGAGAAGAGGAATACAGAAGAGAGGCAAGCTAACTATGTTCTTCTAATGATCCTTTAACCATCAGTGCAAACTCTTGACCCCTAATTATTCCCTGCTCCATGTGACCTCAGCTCTGAAAAAACTGGACAAGAGTATTTGAGATAATTAGCCATGGACCAGGAATTTCCCAAGTAAAAAATATTCAAAGGTTTGCCATTTTTATTTCTTGGCCTCACACATGGAAAACAAAATGAGGTTATTTGATTTGTTTTGTAAAGCAAAGTAGGCCCCAAGCAAACAGGGAGTTTCAAAGTGCCTGAGTCCACTAACTTTAGCCCAATATCAGAAGTGGAGCCCTAACCTGACTGGCTGCTGTGCTCGTGTGAATCTTGGCTGTCTTCCTGCACCCATGGTGTGAGCCTCCGCGGGTGGCTGGAGTTTCGCGGATCTACTTACTACTTGGATTCACTCCATACAACAAAGGGGATGATCCTTCAGGAAGTCTTCTGTTTGGTTTGCATGTTCCTGAGCATAGGACAAAGGTCTGCTGTTTAAGAGGATGAATAACCAAGGCTTTGTTTCTCCAAACCAAGAGGGAAACTGTTGATCTAACCAAAGTCACTTGGTCTTAAACTGCCCAAGGAGGACAAGAATGAGATATTATTTTAGGCGCCCATCACTCAACCTCCTCTCAGTTCCAGAAAACAATGACTCAGTGTGGGCCTTTCTGACAGACGGCAGCCTTAGGAAAATACTGTTCCATATATTTGGAACCAGGGCTCCTCCTGCATTAAAATAAGTGGAAGCTATTCAAAGTCCACTTAGCTCTTTCTCTATGAATCCTGGGCATAGGAATACAGCTGTCCAGACTCACATAATGAGAGGAAAATGGAAACTCTGCATGACACCAAATCAAAGTACTTCGTGTCTCCATCCCAGGTGCTTGGCCTGTGTCTTATTGCTTGATTCTCACAGTAGCCTCGAAGAGGTTGGTATTATTATCCCTACCTTGACCAAGAGTAAGAAAGTTGAAATGAATTTTATCCCTAAGGATACACAGTGGGGCACAGCTGGGAGCTAAATTAGAAAAGAAGTAAAAGCAACCTCAGTCTCCTTTAAATGAACAACCTCTCACATTCCTATTAACATAACATCATATGAATTTAATCATTCTGTTTAACAACCTGTCTTGTATCAACAAATAATTTTCTATGTCAATAAATGAAGTGCTACCCTGTCATTTGGATTTCCAGGGAAGTATTTACCATAACTCACTATGCTAGTCTCCTATAGATAAACGCTGACAGGGTTCCAATTTTCCCCCATGGAGATGTTTCTACAAACATACTACATAAGTGTATTCTTTATGTTTACTTCCTTAGGATAAATCCCAGACAGAGCTGTTTGGCAAAGAGTGTATACATTTTACATTTCTGTACTTAGCACCCAACTGCAAGGCAGAAGGTTATACCAGGCAGCCAGCCACACGAGTGTGCACATTTCCCTACACTCACAGGCAGGCCAGGCTTCACATTTCTGCCAAAATGATAGGATGTGAATGATAGCATTGTCACTTTTGATTGATTTCATCTCTTTGATCATTAGAGAGTTTGGGTATTTTTTTTTCCTGTATATCGGTCATCTGCAATTCCTCCAGAAATTAGTTAGCCCTTTCTTTCTACCTTGCTATGAGCGTCTGACTCCAAAACTCTTTGCAAGAGCTCGTTCTCACCCTGTGCTGTTTTTTCACTGTCTGCTCTCTGTAGAGCTGATGCACTAGTGCGTTGGAGACTTTGATCTATAGTCAAGAAAACTTCAGCAACATATTGCCAGGGCAATTAGTCAAGTTTCATAAAATATGGTCCAAGAAGAAAAACTGGTTAAATCTAAAGAACAGAAAGCCATAAACTTCTCCTTAGTTGTGTGCTGCAGAAATGGGTCACCCGCTGACCTTATCAGCTGTTGTTTATCTTACAATAAACAATAATCCATTTAGACCTAATCTTGTTCTACAGAAAACTCTGGATAGCAGAAGGAACAATTTGGAGGAACAGCCCCAGAACAAGGAAGCTGGAAGGAGCAAAGAGGACACAAACACGTACCCCTATTTTTATTTCCAAGGCAGAGGTAGACCACAAAGAATTGTAGATTGTATGCCCTCTCTCAGAGAATGAAGCCCACAGACATAAAGTAACTTATCTAAAATCAGTTGATGAATGATAGACCCTGACATCCTGAGCAGAGCTCATTCTACTAGTCAGTGGTGCTAAATATATGGCATGTATGGCACAGCCTGCTGTTCGTTATCACTGAAAGCTCTAAAAGGTTCACCATTACTGCACTAGACAATACTAGGCAGAAGTAAAACCGAGCCCAAGTTGAGTCCCCAGAGCTTAGAACAATGATTCTGCCTCTCACAGTGCCCAGGTTTTGTTAAAAGGCATTATGACAAGAATACCCACACACCAGGCTCAGGAATTTGGGCAAAGGGGGCTAAGCCGTAGGAATGGCCAGCATCTTGGCTCTGGCTGGCTATGGGAGAAGGCTTCAAGGGCAATGTTAGGCTGCCTTCTTGTTCTACTTAAGAAAGAATATGGACTAATGCAAAAGCAAGGCCAGCATCTAGCTCTTCTCCTTGCAAATATCACTTGCATAATTAGCTTTATTTACTTTACCCTGTCTGTTCCAGTTAAACTAAATGCAGCCTCTAGAAGAAAACTGAGCCTGACCATTTAGTATTCCTGTCTACCCGAAGGGGCCCCTGCCTTAGCCCAGCAGAGACCCGGATGTGACCAAATTCTTGACAGGATAACTAGACAAAGGCTACATCTCACATGTAGAAAAAGTACCTGCATGGGTGGACCCACATTCATCCCACTGAGGTGACCAGACAAGCAACTGGTCAGGTATCTACTGGTGTTATCTCCTCCCATGCTGTGATTCTCAAATCAGTCCCATAAGGAAGCTCTTTACCCAAATGTTACCCAAAGGCTACATTCCTCCGAACACAGATGTTTAGTGAAGCCTGCATAAGCAGTCTCCAGCAAGCATCTTTTCTTAATTTGAAAGTATTTTTTCTAAATTCCCAAGACATCCACATGGGCCAACAGAAGAAAAAGTTCACACTGAAATTTAAAGAACAACTAGGGAAAAAAAAAGATGCTAGGTGTGGTGGCCCACACCTGTAATCCGAGCGCTTGGGAGGCTGAGACAGGAGGACCATTGTGAGTTTGAGACCAGCCTGGGCTACAAAGTGAATTCAAGGCAAGACCATTGTGAGTTTGAGACCAGCCTGGGCTACAAAGTGAATTTAAGGCTAGCCTGAACTGCATAGCAAGACCCTGTCTCAAAGGACAAAAAAAGAACAACTAGAAAAGCATATTTAGGAAAATTATCTAGGATTAGATAGCAGAGATTGCTTTGTGCCCATGCGTTACACTATCTAATCCTTGTACATAAGGAAATAGAGCACAGGGGACCAGTTCTTCTGTGAGCTCAGTTGATTCCTCTAGAAAATTTTATGAACTTTCATTGTAACATTAGCAATTCTTCCAAAAGATGAAATGAAAAGTCTGCCTTGAATGTTAACCTGTCATTAAGGCTAATTCTTGTCTCTGATGGAATGATGCACCTTCCTCCTTGGGGGTGAGGGACTCTTATTCTGATTCTCTCTTCAGGAATAGGATGCTTCCCACAAGAGAAAATGCTCTCCAAAATCTGATGCTTTTTTTAAGGAGAGCTGTGTGTATTCCCAGCCATCTTTGCACCAGAACTCTTCTACTTAGGATAGAGGATAAACTCTTCAAGTAAATTTTACCCACCCTGTTGATCATCATAGACTAAACATAAACAACAGAAGCAGACAGAGGAAGGTAAGCTGTTGTTGGTCCCGAGGATTTGTGAATGCATGGAAGTTTGGCAGAGATATGCTAATCCTGTAGTATATTTACCTCATCTCTTTTGAAGTTTTCCTAACAACTTTCATGATTTTAAGGTTGTTATTGGCTGATTCTGAAGCTCGGATTTCATGAAATTGATTTTTTTCTTGAAACATTCATTCACTTTTGATTAATAAATTTGCTTCCTTGTTTTTTCTCTAAAAATATGATCTAAAAGAAACTAGTAGCTGACCCCAAGGATGGAAGAGATTTCCACTCACAAATATTTAATATTTATTAATATGCCTTATGTAATACTACATTAGGAAAAATCTCTAATTCCATAAATAAACTCAAATAAAATCTGAGTCAATACTTAGTGCTGATAAACTCTATTCTCTCCAGAATTCTGGTCACAGAAGCAAATCAGATTTCCCCATAAAGTCAACATGGAACCTAATCATTGAATTAGATTCAATTCTCATCCAACTCACTTTGCGACCAGAATCATGGAAAGAATCAAGTTCATAAACCAAGATACCACTGTACTCATAGGGAATTCCATCAGTATATGTTAACTAATTTATGTTCATCAGGATGATAATACAGGCATTTACAGAGAAGTTTGCCCTTTGCAAAACACTTCCATTTAAATAGCCCTAAAGGTTCCTTGGAGACTAAGCAGGGACTTTGTGGACATATCTTACCTTTGTCACTTATTAGCTCTGTGACTCGGCAACTTACTGGAGTAACCTGAGCCTCAGCTTTCTCAACTGTAAAATATGAATGATAATCATTCCTTCCATGCAGAATGGATAAGAGCCTTAAAGATAACATATGCCAAAGGCACAGCAAGTACTTGACATATGGCACGCATTTAGAAACAGAAATTATTGCTATTATTATAAGGCAAGGCTGAAATCATCCCCTCACAGAGCTGAATCAACCAAGGCTCAAAGAGATTAAGATTTTCACCCCATCACTATAGCTGCTAGAATGCCAGAGCTCACCTGGACACAGGTCTTTGATTTGCAAAGGACAGGACTCTTTACACTGCTTCAGAACTCAGGGTGGAAAGTAGACTTACTGCAGAACAAGAGTTATTGATCTCTGAATCTTGGAAAATAATTGATCCATGCTTTCCAAAGGCAGTTAAATTAAACTCTGCCTCTACAATATTGTTCTCAACAGAAATACGGTTCAATTCAAGAGAATCTCTCTTCTTATTTAGACACAGCCAAAACCGTCCAAGGATTTTATTAGTTTCATCTTAACCATCATTCACATCTTCTTTCTGACCTACTTTCAAAAATTTACTAATCCTGGTATTTCAGAGTGGATCACCTGCTCTCCGACTAAGGTGAATGTTATTTCTGAACAAAACAGATCCAAAAGTAAGAGAAGCTTGCCATCCCCAGAAACACAGCTAGACAGAGGTCACCACTTCAAGTGTCAGTCCGAATAGGCAGCTCACCCCTCCTAAGCAGTAACACAGTCAGCAGGACCTTTGTATGCTCTGACACAGGCCAGGAAGAACGTTTTATCTGCATTTTTGTTCAATTCCAGATTTAATATCAATTCTACAATAATGTCAGGATATTCTTTTTTAAACGTCTTTAGAGTAAGTTACTAAAAGCAGCAAAACTTTAGCCCAACCTCCTCGAATTAGGATGTTTTCAGAATCTTAAAAGAGCAAATTTCAATGCAGCTCTCTGCCTTCCTGAGCTTTTGTGAAATTACTCAAATGCTGCTGAAGTTGAGTATCGTGTACGCTTTCATATCTTTTCTGACCATATGAAATAGAACACCTGGAATAAAGAGACACTAATACCAATATCAACCCTAGTGAAAGAAAACAGAAAAAAGAGAATCCAGAAAGTGCTCTCTGCTATTTACCTGAGAGAAAACAAGTCAAAATACGCCATGATCTACAGGCAGCTAAAACAACACACTCTAAATATTTTACTGGATACACTGCCTAGTGTTCTACTTAGCTAATAATTGTTCCAAGTTATTAGCAAATTCTTCTTCCATTTCTTTATTCTTGACTATTATTTTCTTTGGAACATTTGTCTTTTTATATCTATATTTCCCTACATTTATTTCTGCTTCTTCCTTTACCCCCTACCACCACCACCATGTTTTTGGTTATATAAAAATGCTTTCCACAGAATCGAGAACCTATAGACAGGCAAAGTGATGGTATCATTATTGCTCTGATCATTTTTATTATTCATGTCAAAACAGTGAACTGCCTTTTACATTCTCACTATTATACGTGTAACTGCTCCCTCTTGCTTTTGCTGTATTTGAGCTTACACAGGTCTTTCAGAACAAAACATATACATATTAATAATATTGGCATAGTTGGAGGTCTTTCCATTAACTTTTCTTTGTAATCTGGAAGTATCCTGTGACCCAGGCATCACTTGTTAAACACCACCTGCAAACACAATGATTCAACTGAAACTAGAGAGGAACCTGCAAAGACGCCAAAGGCATGTTCACTTAAAGCTGGTCAGAGTGCCAAAGCCACACAATGAGCAATTAAAGGGGACATCTACAGTATGTACAATAAGTTAGAGTTCAGAGGACTAAATTCAAGTCAGCAGGTAGAGTGGATCATCCATGTAAGGCTTTCCAAAGGCGACTTTTAAAAAGAAAAAAAAGATGAGAGGTCAAGGGAATAAGAATATCCCATAGGACACATTAATGTTATTACATCATTTTCTATAGCCTTCTGCAGTTCCCCAAGGACTATTAAATTTTCTGATACCTTTCTTACTTCTGTTTTGAGTGTATTATCAAAAGCTCCCTTGCAATTTAAGAAATCTTTTATATATCTAGGTTTATGCGTTTTCACTTCTGTGAACTTGCATATTGCTTTTGTATAATCACTGCTTGCTTCTCTAGTTCGCTCAGGTTTCTTTTTTAGGTCTTTTGAGGTATATATTCTTAGCATGACATGTAAAAAACAACATTTTTTAAAAAGCAAAGCAGTTCTGCTACATCTGCTGTTTGAGGCAGCCCTTCCGACTATTTCATCACTAGTGCTCTATTCTGTTCCTCAGGCAGTTTCATTCTCCCTGCGAAAGAGATCAGGTTACAAAGCAGCCTCCACACTGAAGCAGGAAGCCAAAGCAAAGCGATATAAACACAGTCTGAATCTGTGCGACAGTTGATCACCTTCAATAAGTTCTAAGCCTGGGAAGGAACTGATTGCACCATCTTTTCCAACGATTTACATCTTCTTTTTCAATTTTATTTGATGATTTTAAAGTCAGTGAAGTCACTCTGATTTGAAAATTAAAAATCATCATCCAAATAAGCAAAGGGGGGATGCTTCTAAACAAGATGCTAACCTCAAAATACCTAAAGAGTTCCTGTTTATCGTTTGTTTTTTTAATACCCTGTAGTGTTCGAAGACTGGGTTGCAAACAGAAGCTCCTCAGCAAGCCTACTCTTCCTACACCAAAGTGCAGTAAAAGAGCTTAATTCACCTGCTTGCAGAAGATAGATGTTTGGCTCCAAAAAAAAAAAAAATAAAATAACACCAAAGTCAAACACTTTGGAATTAATACAAATCTTGGAATTAATACAAATTAATACAAGATTAATACAAATCTTACACTTGCACAAGTGTGTGCTTGATTGATCATTCCTGAAGTCAGCATTCCTTGGAAAGGGGGCTGTTGGTGACCAGGAAGGAGGAAGGAGAGGAAGAACTATCACATGGCTTAGACAGGAGAGATCAGATCAAAGCACCAGAATGAATGTCTGCAGGGATAACAGACCAACCTTTTCACAGTATTTCCAAAGGCCATTTGTGGCAAGGGCCACTATTATAGCATTAGCATTATTCATCCTTCTGTATCATCGGGTTTCTGCTCCCGTTTTGGCACCTTTAAGAATCTTGTACAATTTGCATGCTTGTTTCCAGCCAAGCAATTTTAATAAAGCCCGTTTTTCATCCATGTGACTTTGGGCTTTAGAAAATTACACTGAGAGGAAGCATTCATCTTACTAGTTATCTTTTTCTCTACAGCTCTGTCCCCTGGTTGGAGAAGGAAGAGCCCTCCATCACACAGAGCATCACAGTGTTCATTTCTCTACATCAAGCGACACTGAGCTAAACACTCGACGGCGCAGCCATGGGTGTTTGCACTTTGCAAGCCTGTGTCATATCTGTCTTTTGCTTTTTATCACACCTTTGATTTAGCAGGCAAATCTTCAGGGCTCAGTGCTGATGGATATACCCTGGAGCCAGCTTCAAAGCCAGATCTTAGATTTATGAAAATAAAATAAACATAGCGCTTCAATTACAAATACCTACTTTGAATTCCAATGTGCACTTTCAAAGGTTCATCTTATAAATCCTGCCCTTGATTTTGAACCCAGTGAATCTTTGGATTTGGTGCTTATTGGCTCCTTCCTCAAGCTGCCATTTCAGTCCAGTCTGAATTCACATATACTGTAAATGATTGGAGTTCCACCATCTTACTCCGTGTACGTACCTTTTTTGCTAAATAGAAGGTTTTCAGAGAGACTGACAGCCATTCTGCCTGTCTCTGTCTCATCCAGGTAGTGGCTGGAGAGCCCACACAACCAACTCAATTTACATTAGCTTCATGAACGCTTTTAAAGTATGGTGCCAGCCTGTTGGTACCAAAGCAGATTAAAGTGTCCCCTTCCTATGCCTACAGTCGGAGGCCCTCATGACCAACTCTGAAAGGGAGCTAATCAGAGACAGGCGAAGGGGCACTCAGTACCACTGAGCTCCTGCTTCTGCAGAGTTTATAAGAAATGGCACAATTCCTGACCTGGAAGAGCCAGAACATGTATTCATACATACTGACATATATGTGCACACACAAACACAAACACAAACTCATGTGTGTCCATATAAATACATGCACACCTATGAACACACATAAGTTCATAGTTGCATTTGTGTTTTCCATTCCCTCAGGAATTCATTTCACAGTTGTGGAATCCCAAAGGGAATAAATACTACAAAATTAATACAAGTACATTACCAAGACTCTGACATTTAGAACAGACCATTTAAGGAATGCTTTCCTTCCCTTACAAATTTTTAAAAGAAACAAGGGGCAGGGGTGAATAGCGGGACAACTGAAAAGTACATACTGTATCCCCAGGAGAGGAAAAAAGGAGGCACTAAGGCTGTGAAATGAAAACAATACTTAGATGTAAGAAAAAAAGACAAGGGAAAAAACAAAAAGGAGAGGGAACGGAGGTCAAATTGCACAGCTGAGACCAGAGTGTAAGCTGAAATGACATCATGGAAAGAAATGAGGGTTATGATGGAATAAAATGCAAAATAACAGAGGATTCATTTTAACTTTCAGCCAAATGAGTGGTAAGATATTTTTGAAGTGGAGAAATTAAAAAATAATAATAAAATCAATACTTTCTTTCAGTAAAGCATAATTAAAATGGGACCAAATAAGATTTAACATTTTTCTGGTTTTAAAGATACATGGTAATTTTGACAATTTGAAAAATATAGCAACAGCAAAAGAATAAAGAAGGAAAAGAAACTCCTGTGGTTCTATTAACAACAGATAATTCCTGCTAATGTATATTCTTCTGGTCCCATCTTTACCAGTCGTGATTATACTATCCTGTGAACTTTTTATGGTATTGCATTAAATATTTCTCAACATAATTTTAGATAATTATTTTGATTGACAATTTTTATATTGTAAAAAAGTGCTATGAATATCTTTATGAATAATGTCTAATTATTTCTTTTATCTGAGTACTTTGTAGTTACTTCCTTAGAATATGTTCTTGACTCCCCCCCTCCCAAAAAAATAAAAGACGCAATCAAATAATGGGCAACTGAAATGAATAGACATTTCTCAGAAGAAGTAGTACAAATGGCCAATAAATGAAAAAAATGTTCACTATCACTGGCCATTCAAAAAATATAAGTTAAAACAACACTCTGAATCCACTTTGCTCCAGAAAGAATGCTTATCATCAAGAAATCAGATAGTAACTAATGCTATTGAGCCTGCAGGGATAAAAGGACTCCTTCTACGTTGATGGTGGAGATGTAAACTAGTAAAACCAGTATGGAAATCAGTACGACATTCCTCAAAAAACTAAAACTTAGAAATTCCATTTGACTCAGTTATTCCCTTTCTAGTACTTCCCAAAAGTTAAAGACACCCAGTGATACATCCATACCCATGTTTACAACAGCATAATTCACAATAGCCAAATCTTCGAAGCACCCTATATATGTCCATCAGCAGATGAATGGATAAAGAAAATGTGGCATTTACTACTGTACCATAAAGAAGGATAAACCTAAGTCATCTGTAGGAAAATGGATGCACCTGGAGACCATAATGTTAAGTGAAATAAATGAAACATACAAGTTTAAATATCACATGGCTTCTCTTATATGAGAAATCCAAAATGTGAATAAAGAGCAAAATAAAAGACAGATAATAGTACATAGGGAGATAGAGCTTTCCCAAAAGGCAAAGAGACCAAGAGGTGGAGGGGCAGGGAAGGGGGTGAAAAAGAATTTTTAAAAATGAAAAATAAGTATTTTTTAAAGGTGGAAAATGTCTTTTTAGAAATCTACCAACTTCTACTGCCCCTAGCAGCACAGGAAGTTTTGTTTCACCACAATCCCAGCAATACAAGCAGCAAAAAGAGAAGTTTACTACTAGATTAATAGAGATGCAAAATACAATGTCAAAAGCACCATTAACCTGAATGTAGGTGGCTGCTTATGACATAAAGTCAATTTCTAAATACAAATAGTTCTACTTTTTTAGAACCGTGAACTTCTTTGAGAATCTCATGAAATCTGTGGACTTTGTTCTGTAAAAATCTTCATGTATAGAAAAACAGACTCCTTGAAATCTATCATGAAACAATCTCAGACTGACTTCTACATATATAACCCAGGAAGAGTCCCTAGACCATGAGCTCATTTGTTAACCAGGACTCTAGTAAGCAGTCCAAGGACATAGCACGCATGGCTCAGTGTCCACCTTAGTCATGAGGCTTGGTTTCCAGTTAGAGCACTACCTCTAAACATGCGTAGGTCCCTACCATATGCTGGGCCTCTAGGATCCCCTCTATCTGCAAATCCCTGGCAGTCTGTACATATTTGTTCTGTGGAAAGTCCATGCCTACTTTCTATAACCAGACTGGGTCCTTGATGCTCAGAAGTAGGTAGGATATCCCCCAAGTCTGTCTGTTTGATATCTGCTCCAGAATACAAATTAATGTCAGTCCCATGGACTGCACCCCGCTGCTGTTTTCCATACATAGATTGGGAGCTTCTTGGAGACACAAACTATACCTAACTCAACTCTTTTTAATTAATGCAACATATTCACCAGTAAATATCTGCTCAAACTGAAAAAGTTCTGAACCAAAAAGAATTATGTTTAGAATCTTATTCTAAACAAAAGACAACAGTGTTTTAAAAGTGAAATTTTAAAAGTTCAGTTTTATTTGGGGTGACTCTAATTCTATAAAGTACATAAACATACATATGGCTGAGTCTCTTTTTAGCTTAAATAAAATGTTTATGTAGTTGATTCTTGTTATTTGTGGTAGTTATTATGTTCTATAAAGTTGCTTAAAATACTGACTTAGAAAATACCGGACAACTGCTCCTAGGAGAAACACAAAGTTAAGTTTCTGTGAGCCTCTGGTCACATTTTCATCAACCAGTCCTAAGCTAACCCTGTTTGGTGTAGATTTCTGTTGAAAGACACCTTATTTTATGTACCCTCTTAATTCATTAACAATGAACACACTGTCAAGAGCTCCTTAACGCTTGTGGATAGAAACTTATTGAACACATACACATCTTTTACAAGAAACGTTCTCCTTGCACTCAGGAACACTAACTAGAACTTCAGCACCATACGAGGAAGCCATTTCACATGGTGGCATCACCAGAAAAAAAGTACAAAAAATTCAAAAACAACACACTAACTAGAGCATGAAAAGCACGCTTGCTAACAGTACAAGAGCTGAAACAAGAAGGCCACTATACTTTGACATCAGCAGGGAACATACGTGTTTTGCAACTCAAATGTGTCACTGCTCTGTGCTTGTCCACAAATGGCTGCAAAAGCCTCAAAGTCCTGCTTTGGGGATAACAAATGTTAGCAAGTGAGTGAATTTCCAAATATGGAGTCCATGAAGAAGGACTGAGTGTAGATTGGTTTTTCTCTCTGTTCAACTATTATTATACCGATTGTAGCACCTGGGTTCCTCTCCCAATGCTAAAACCTCTAAATTCCTCTCTCTCACTCCCAGCCTTCTCCTCCATGTAAGCGACTTCTTACCCGCTCTGTTTTCCTCTCTCCTTCCTTTCTGCAACTCATCTCTGCTTTCACCCTTGCTTCTTGGCTACCCTTCCAGTCTTGTTTGGCACAGGATTTTGCCTCCTGCCTCTCTCCTTTTGAGAGCCTGCCTGACCTTTTCTTGTAATCTCTATCAACGTTCCACCCCATTCCACTATTTCACCCCCTCTCCACTCCCACTCTGTGGTGGCTTGTGTCCGGATGTCCCTCCAAAGCCTCGTGTGGTCATAGGTGGGGCTTTTTCAGAGGTGACTAGATCTAATTTGCGTGATGCTGGGATTGATTCATGGTGCAATGCTAGGCTCAGGGCGCTAGGACTAAGCATGTGAGTGCTACCCATCCTAAAGAGTCTGGATAAGATAAAAGGGGCAGAAAGATGCTGTTAAGGCTCCTTGTAGTTTTGCTACTTTCTGTCCGCCATGAACAGTTGCCCCTCTTCCCTGTGCCACCTGCCCTGGAGCCAGCAGATTATGGACTGAAACCTCCACAGATGTGAGCTACATAAACCTTTCTTCCTTTAACTTTGGGTGTCAGGTATTCTCAGCAGCAAGAAAAGTAACTAACACACACTTGTTTTCATGTTCTCAGTCTCCCAGAAGGTTATATTCTTTGGAGACATTTCCTTTAAAATGAGGCTTGATTTATTAACATATATGATGAATATCTAGCTCCTCGAGCTTCCCAGGCACAGGACCATTGGGTGTGGAAGACAATGGAAGGGACCGAGTAAGCTTACATTAGTATGGGAAATGGCAGGGGCAGGGGTGCTGGATGAGAGCTGGGAAATCAACCCACAGGTATTTTAGCACACAAATCCCACCATGAGCTAATTCTGAAGAAAGACAAAAAAGCAGAAGGCAGCCCTTTGACTAAATGGAAGACAAAGTGGAAGGAGAGTTTCTATATGTGGTGTTAGGAAGCAGTAGAGTGGATAGAAGCTTTTCTGAACATTGAAAAAGAATAATTATTAGGGAAAAGCACAAAAGAGAGAATGGATTATGTTTCACAGAACTTGCTAGTTCTTGATTTTAGTTTTCTTTTCATTTATTTTTATTTTTTTAAGTCAGAATGAAAAGAGAAAGCCATCTCTCAAAATGTAACTGAGGTGGCCACACCTTACCATGTAACACATGGGGGTAATGGATATGTGCTTAAGAGGCATGAATAGTGCTCTAGACCAGTGTTTTCCAAACTTCAAATTATGAGCTTAGTGATTACAATTAACCTTATTTTTAATATAGTAGGACTGAAATGTTTTAAAGTGCAGTTAGAGCAGTAAGGTTAAGCATCATGGCATTACACTTTTGTTTAAGCTCTCCACACATACACACAAACCACGTAGACGTGTATAGACTATGATAGAGAACCTATTTCTTATTGTTGAAAACAGTCAAACATATTTGAAAAACTGTGCTTTCTAAAAATATCAACAAATAATCCCTTCTCTCCCATATTATTTCCTAATAACTATTCTTTTAATTTTCAAAAGAATCTACTCCATTGTTTTCTAGAACCATAAATTAGAAATATAGACAACTTCTTAGAAAGAAGTTACATGGAGGACTGTATCACCCATGCATAGAAAGAACATACATTAGGATAATATCAATTCTTTCAACGTCAAAGCTATTTCCATCTAAGTGTTGAGAAAATTCTTAGAATTCTCAATGTGATCATGTTAGAGTAACATATGAGATCATTAATAGGTATTGCATAGCTATACCTTTTTGCTTTAGCTCAGATGTGAACCTTAGTTTTGTGAATACTAAGTTGGTGATAGAACAGAACTGAATAAAAGTTAATTGTGAAAGACTCATAATTAATGAAACAATTTAAGACAGGACTGTAGGTTATGAGTGAGTTAAATAGAGAGGAATGTGAGAACAATGTAATCAAAGAAACAAAAAGGCAGTATAATTGAAAGAAAACACTCAAGAACAACTGGACTTTAGCTCAGGAGGGCATTGGAGGCAATATACATCCAGAAGGGGCCAGGAGATACTACACAGGCAGTTGGTGAAGACAAGGGAGTGTCTAGGAGCAGTCCTTCAGCTGAACTTTAAGCCTCTTGGCTCCCACCTGCTGGTCTCTTTCTGTACACCACCACTGAGCGATGTTCCTTTTCACATTCTACCTGCTCTGATCTTCCCTGTCCTCCCTCCAGCGCTTGAACAGTCACCCTGCCACAAATCCACGTTTCACTCTCCACCTGTACTCCCAGGGCCATGTTGGTGATATATTCTCCCAGTTCTCTGGGTCAGGACCACCATCCCCCATACAATGTCTACCAGCCAGCCTGGCAAAGAAGACTCGTATAGTG